GCGTGGCTGTTGCAAACTTCCTGGTGTCAGAATCCGCTGGTCTTTCCTCCGTTTACGTAGGTCAATCACGACGTTCCTATAAGCCTCCAAAAAGACAAGCGTTATTCTGAGTTCTGCAACTTTTTATCTCTCTCTGAGTGGAAAAGTGTTTTAGAGCATGGGACTTCCCTGGTGGTCCAGGGGTTAAGCAAGGGGATGTGGGTTCCCTTCCTGATCCGGAAGATGTCACATGCCGAGGAGCAGCTAAACCTGTCTCACCTCACCCTGAGCCCGCGCACCTTAGGGCCCAGGCCCTGCAACAGAGGAAGCCACCGCAATGAGAAGCCCCACACCGCAGCGAAGAGCAGCCCCTGCTCCCTGCAACTAGAGAAAGCCTGTACCAAACACTGAAGATCCGGTGCAGCCACATAAAGGAAATGAATAAATAGATGAATAAAATAAAAATAAAAGCCAGAGCCCTGAGAATGGACTATCCGGTGTGTTTCAGGCTACCTGCTCGCTGCAACTAGAGAAAGTCTGTACGAAGCATTGAAGACCCAGTGCAGCCAAATAAGTGAAATAAATAAATAGATTAGTTAAAAAAATAAAAATAAAGATCAGAGCCTTGAGAATGGACTATCCGGTGTATTTCAGGCTACGGGCAGTATTCTTACAGCAAAAGCAATAGAATACAAAGGTAAAAGGAAAAGAAACAGACCCAGTGTGAGGTCAGATTTGTTCTTCCCTGGTGCACTGGTAGCCCAGTTTGTCCTTCTAAGCAGGGTTGCAGCTGCCGGAGGACCTTCGGTACCTGTCACCTGGGGTCATGGAGGGGACTGGCTGGTAATGACTTCTGTTTTTTTTTTTTTTTGAGCTTATTCCCTGAAGTCTTGTGCCCGGTGATTACCACCTCCTCTTCACTAGACTGTCCCCTCCAGGCCCTGCTTCTCAGGGGTAATTGAAGGTTAATCAGATACACTACTTCCTGCTCTGTATCAGCTAGTTAATATGTCACTACATACAGACTTTAAAAAAAAAAGCCTAACATTTAAAGGAGCTTTGCTAGTGTTGACAGTTTCAAGGAAGCTACCTGTGTTGGGGGATTATCTTAAAAAAAAAAAAATACAGGATTTATCATACAGTCCAGGAATCACACTCCCTGGTGTTTACCAAATGAACTGAAGAGTTACGTCCGCGCAGAAGCCAGCACACGGATGTGTACAGCAGTTTTATTCATAATTGCCAAAACATGGAAGCAACTGAGATGTCCTGCAATAAGTGAATAGATAAATAAAACCATGGTCCATCCAGACAAAGGACTGTTATTCAGTGCTAAAAAGAAATGAGCTATCAAGCCATGAAAAGACATGGAAGAATCTTAAATGCACTTGACTTAAGTGAAAGAAGCCAGTCTGAAAAGGCTGAATCCTGTACAGTTTCAACTATAAGGCATTTTGGAAAAGGCAAAGCTGTGGAGCCACTAAAAAGATTAGCGGTTGCCAAGGGTTGCCAGGAAGAGATGAACAGACGGAACACAGGAGTTCTAGGGCATGGAACTCCCAGTCCTGATACCAGAATAATAGATACGTGTCATTGTGCATTTGTACAAACTCAGAATATACAGCACAGAGAGTGATCTCTAATGTAAACTGTGAACTTTGGGTGATAACCACATGCCAGTGTAGGTTTATTGGTTGTAGCAAACGTCCCACCCTGGTGTAGGATGTCGGTAGTGGAGAGGTTGTGCATATGTGGTGCAGGGCGTATGTGGGAATTCTCTGTACTTTCTGCTCAGTTTTGCTGTGAATATAAAACTGCTCTTAAAAAAAAAAAACAACACATGCCTTTATCTGCTGCATCAGCTTCCTGTTGCTGCTCTAACAGAGCACCACAAGCATAGTGGCGTAGAACGACCCCGATGTCTCATCCGACAGTGCTGGAGATGAGAAGTCGAGGTTGGTTCTCACTGGGGTAAAATCAAGGCGGCCGCAGGGCTGTGTTCCTGCTGGAGGCTCCTGGGAAGAACCTGTTGCTTTGTCTCCTCCGGGTTCTAGAGCCCACCGACCTTCCTTGTCTCATGACCTTTTCTCCATCTTCAAGTCAGTGGCCTAGCATCTTCCAGTCTCTCCTGTCTGACCACGCTCTTGTCGTCTCATCTTCTCTCTGACTCTGACCCATCTTGCTGTCTCATAACCTTCCTTGTGATGACATGGGCCCTACCCAGCTCACCCAGGATCATCTCCCCATCTCAGAATCCTTAACCACAGCTGCTGAGTCCCTCTTGCCATGTAAGGTGACATGACAGGTTTTAGGGATTAGGAGGTGGTCATCTTTGAGAGGGGTGCTTCCCAGGTAGCACTAGTGGTAAGGAACCCGCCTGCCAGTGCAGGAGATGTAAGAGACGTGGGTTCAATCCCTGGGTCAGGAAGATCCCCTGAAGGAGATCATGGCAACCCACTCCAGTATACTTGCCTGGAGAATCCCACGGACAGAGGAGCCTGGGGGGCTGCAGTCCATAGCGTCACAAAGGGTAGGACATGATTGAAGTGACTTAGCATATACACACACATCTTTGGGGAAGAAGTGATTATTTTGTCGATCACATATGCCCTTTATTATTTCTTAAGTTAATTAATTTATGTTTGCACTGGGTCTTCCTTGCAGCGACCAGCTTTCTCTAGTGTCAAGTGGGGGCTACTCACCAGCTACAGTGCACAGACTTCTCATTGCGATTCCAGTGGAACCCAGCTCTATCTCAAGACCGATTCTTGGTCATGTTCCGAGTTGCGGGAGGCAGGGAGACTGGCGAGGAAAAGGAAGGAAGGAAATCCTGTTGGGTTCCGGGTTTGACTGGAGGCTAGAGGACAAGGATTCTTAAGGAGGGGACCCACCTGAATCATCGGAGATGCCTTTCCATGTCCAGCATCCTGGATTCTGGCCAAGCCTCCCTTGAGAGGCACAACATTTCTGATATGCCCCTTATCACTTGTCCGTGAGAATATTGTGTATTTTTCATGTGTAGAGGCAGAAAAAAGATTAGTACCCAGTGATGCCTAGGGACAGAGTGATCTTTGACAGAGGAGGTTGGACTTGATGTTGAGAAGGTGATGGGGCACCGAGGCTGGGGAGGTACCCCAGTGACATCGACAGGGATGAGTTACGGGGAGGGACTGGAGTGGTCTTGCTGACGATGTGGTCTAAATGGGAGGCCCTGAAACACGCAAGGATGGAGGTTTCCGGGCATGTCTGTACCGCCTCTGTGCCTCTGTGCTTCCTTGGTGGGAGCTTACCACGAATGGCAGCTCCAGAGGGCTGTTGAATTCTAAAGCAGGTGAGACAAAGTCTGGGAGAGGGGTGAATTAGCCCCTGGCGTAGAGGAGGTTCCCACAAGCTTCCTCTGATGGTCCCATGGAGCTAAACTGATGAGCCACTTTTATTGTTTCTGGGAGTCTAAATGCAAGAGACCTGGGTTCAATTCCTGGGTCAGCAAGGACCCCTGGAGAAGGAAATGGCAACCCACTCCAGTATTCTTGCCTGGAGAATCCCATGGACAGAAGCCTGTCAGACTACAGTCCATGGGGTCGCAAGAGTTGGACTCGACTTAGTGAGTAAATCACCAAACCTAGACAGCGTATTAAAAAGCAGAGACCTCACTTTGCCGACAAAGGTCCGTATAGTCAAACCTATGACTTTTCCAGTAGTCATGTACGAATGTGAGAATTAGACCATTAAGAAGGCTTCGTGCCGAAAAATTGATGCTTTCGAATTGTGGACCTGAAGAAGACTCGAGAGTCCCTGGGGCTGCAAGGAGATCAAACCAGACAATCCTAAAGGAAATCAACCCTGAATATTCATCAAAAGGAAATGATAAGGAAGCTCCAATCATACCTGATGCAAAGAGCTGACTCCTTGGAAAAGACGCTGATGGTGGGAAAGATTGAAGGCAAAAGGAGAAGAGGGTGGCAGAGGATGAGATGGTTGGAAGGCATCACCGAGTCAATGGATATGAGTTTGAGCAAACCCTGGAAGATAGAGGACAGAGGAGTCTGGTGGGCTGCAGTGCATGGGGCCACAAAAAGTCAGACCCCACTGAGCGACTGAGGAACAGCTGAGGCAGGTGCACTTTGTTACGGGTGGCGCTAAAAATTTTTCCTGGGAGCGTCTAGTGCTGAGCCAGTGACTGTGTGTGGGTGACGCTTCGCAGAAGAGAAATCATTCTCTTTCCTCACGTATTTGTTCTTTATTGTTGTGTTCGTAATACCTGGTTCTGTCACTCGGGATGTTATTTTGGAGATGGATGATGCAGATGTGTTTTTAAAGGCAAGGCGTCATTAAGTAATTTTAGAAACCCATTCAGCATTGTACCTGTCAGTGCTGACTGTCATACGGTTGCAGTGGGTCGTGGGTGTACTCTAGCCAAGGCATCACGGCATCTGTAAGGGGAGACAACTGCGAGTGAGTGTCTAATTCACTAAACCCTGGAGAGCTTTTGATCCCATCGACTCCACTGCGATTTGAGTCCATCTTCATTTCTCTCCTTTCCCTCTTGTGGTTCCCTTCTCACTGAGGTGGGGATGGTCCCACTTTGCTCAGTTCCCTGGATCTGCCGCTTCCTGGCTCAGTGACCTTGGGCAAATGATCTTATTACTTCGAGATTCAATTTCTTTATCTACAAACAGCAGCTATGACAAACCTAGATATCGTATTTGAAAGCAGAGACATCACTTTGCTGACAAAAGTCGGTATAGTCAAGGCTATGGTTTTTCCAGCAGTCAGGTCTGGATATGAGAGATGATACAAACTAGACTCCCTCTTCACAAGGTCAACTCCGTCCTACTCCAGATTAAGTTCTCACAGCGGTAGATTTCGCATGGGGGCTTTTTGCCTCGGAATGGTTCCTACCTACCCCTGACGATTAAAGGCAGACACTGGGGAGTTCCACCTGGGCCACAGAGAGTTAAAAGTCCCCACTGGAAGGGCTCCTGGCGACGGTTTAACGGCTGCTTTTCTCGGCTTTGCAGGTCATGCTGGCGGCTTCCTACTGGTCCCTCCTGGCCCCGGCGGTGGAGATGGCCACGGCCTCCGGCGGCTTCGGTTCCTTGGCCTTTCTCCCCGTGGCCATCGGCTTCGCCCTCGGAGCGGCGTTCGTCTACCTGGCCGACCTCCTGATGCCTCACTGGGTGAGTACTGCCCCCCGCTGAGCTCCTGCGTCAGGGCATGGTAGCTCTGCGCCATGAATCCACTTCTGTTCAAGCTCAACACCCACGGGCGTGTCTCTGTTAAGTGGCCAGTGATATGGAAATAGATACTTCAAGCCATTTAGGACTTTTACCTAGAGGGACTGAATTGTGACTGAAAAGAAAATAAGCTCTCAGTGGTCTGACTCATCATCCCTTCAGTTGCATTTTGGAAAGTTCAGATTTTAAATGTCAGATCTCATTGAACGCGTGGAGAGCAGCTTGACGTCATTCGGTGCGGCACTGTCTGCAGGGGGGCAAGGGAGTGACCGGGACACTGGGCTGACCCTTAGCTTGTGACGTCCCCAGGGAGCTGACAGCACGCGGAACCACAGCAGAAGGCCCTCAGCAGAGCATCTGCCCCACGAGCGCTGGTTAATAGGAGGACAAGGCGGGGGACTGGGCAACAGGGCTCTGGAGTGGGCTCGCTTCCGACGCGAACCAGCTGTATGTCCCTTACCCCCATTTTCTTTCTTATGACTTGAGGGTTGATAACTCCCTTTATGGGTTGCCAGGTAAAAATCTTAAAAAATCTAAAAAGGCACCAAGGACTTCCTGGTGTTCCAGCAGTTGAGGATCCCCCCTGCCAATGCAGGGGACATGGGTTCGATCCCTGGTCCGGGGGGGTCCCACAAGTCTCAGGGCAGCCCGAGCACCACAAATAGCCTCGACCAGTGCTCTGTGACGAGAGAGTCTGCACAGCCATGAGACCCCAGCTCAGCCAGAAATTCGTTACTTAAAGAAAGTGATAAGGCACCAGATTTGGGTTTTTTTTTTTTTTGGCCTAAATGGTGCTGGGGGTTGGGCCTGGGGAATGAGCTTGTCCTTGCTTACAGAGAAGTCCGATACGCAGGGCAGGCTGCATCCTGGCTGCGGTCCCTGAGCAGAGAGAGCCAAAGCCAGACTGTGAGACTGTGGTCCAGCGCCATCGGCCGAAACCAGCTTGGCTGAAGGGTGGCCATCGAGAAGGACCCAGTGCAGGCATGCGTCACCTTACCAGGCGCAGTGTTTTAGCAAGTCCCCGAGGTGGGCAGAAGCCCTCCCAGAGAGACCTGAGCTGGGGCTTGAATTCTCTGCTCACCCAGGAAGGGAGGAGGCGCAGGAAGGACCATCTGGGGGAGAGAGTTTCTCTGGGGGCATCATGATGGGTGGGGAGCAGGTCGGAGTCCCTGGAATCAGCAGGGCTCGTATCCCTGGAGGTAGGAGGTAGGCTCACCTTTCCCCACCTGCCTTCTTCCTTCCCCATCGGAGAGAGAGAAGGGAGAGCCTCGGGAGGACCATGGCCCAGACGCTCACGAGAAACTGACCACTCTTGATCCGGAGGGACCAGCTTCTGGACCGAACGGCTGGTTGTGCTGTGATGTTGTCTCGGAGGAGAGACTGCGTGTCACTCTTGTTCAATGAGAGCTTGAACGGCCGTGTCAAGCCTGTGGTCCTCTGCCCCGCACCCCCCGCCCCCCACCCCCGACCCTCTGCTTCCTTGCTGTCGGACACGCACGTCTGCTTGGTGATGGCTCTGAGCGGGTCCTGGGGGTGGATCGCCATATCCTGCTTCCCAGCCCACCCGGCTTCCGTGTAACCTTGCCAGTGGAGTGCCTCCTCCTTGCCGGGCAGGAAGGCCAGCGGCGTTCGCCCCTGGATGGCAGACTGGGGCTGGCACGGCCCCTGCCGGTCTCCTTCTGCCTTTCCCACCTGAGCCCCCCGCCCCCCACTCAGCTTCCAAGGCAATACATGGCGGAGGGCTCTTTGTCTCGTGAGGAGTCACCGTTCCCTGGTACTGGGGCGGGGAGGGCGGGTGGACTGGGGGTATCAGTGTATTTGATCAGCTGCCCAAATGTAGAGGCTTTCCCCGGGTAGTGTAAATAGTCATTTGTTCCGTGCAGCGGTGCCTTTTTTTCCCCCTTAACCTTTTGCTTCCTGTTTGCTCTACTGTACGCTTTGAATATGGAGAAGATCCCAGGGGGAAGTCTTGGAAAATGAGGCCTGGTCGGGGAGTGGTGGGTGAGCACTGAGGGAGGGAATGAAAGGTCTTCAGAAAGGGCGTAAGAACCGCGAATCCCCAGGACCTCGCTCACTGGCAGATAGATCAACCTGGCAGGAAGCATCTGTTCTGGGACGTTTTAAGAGAAGTTAGCTCATGCTGTTGATGTCAGAAGGGGAATTTGTCTTGGACGGTCTCATAAACAGATAAGCATTGCTTATAACTGCAGCAGTACCCAAATGCAAACGTGACTCTTAAGAGTGGAGCTGGGGAACTGTCTGTCCGTCACTCTGAGACGGGCTGGAGGTTTCCCTCGGTCTCACTGTGGATTTGCCAACCAGACCCAGAAAGGGCAGCAGCTCGGATGTAGGGAAGACGCATCTTGGAGTCTGAGTTGTTGGGTTTTGACCCTGAGTGTGGCTAGCTGTCAGCACTGATTGAGCAGCCAAGGGGAATACGGTCTTCTGGGGGAGAAAGTGGTGGCCGGAGTTTGGTTTCAGAATGCTCACCGCGGTTGGACTTTAGGAGCCAGGAGTTCCCTGGGGCAATTCAAACGGAGATGTTTTCAGTTTCCTGTTCATCCTACCTTGCGACAAAGCCTCACGCTCAACACTCGGCCCAGGAGCAGGGCGCAGCCGTGAGAGCAAAAGGCTTTGGCTGCAGCGATGACAGAGGGGGCTCGTCCTGCAAAACGAGTGCCTGGAAGAAGGGGGTCCTGCCTGCAGAAGACCCCACATCCTCCGCTCTGTCCTCTGGGAGGACCGTGCGTGGAGTTTGGGTGAGAGGGAGCAAGCCAGTCCCTGGCGAAACAAGCCGGTGCAGGAGTGCGCTCAGCACAGAGGTGCTTTGAGGGATTCTTTTTAAAATTGTTTCAAGCATCCCCTAAACATATCTTTTTAGCCTTTCTTAAATTTTTCCTTGGCCTTTTTTTTTTTTTAGTATTTCCTTGGCTGTGCCACATGGCCCGTGATCTTAGTTCCCCGACCGGGGATCGAACCCCTGTCCCCCACACTAAGTGTGGAGTCCTAACCACTGCAGCCCCAGGGAGGTGCCTGCTGGAGGGATTCTGACATCGACCCATGACGGTCCAAGCACAGGTGCCTCTGCGAGTCCACATGGGACGTGCCCTCCCTATTTGTTCTTACGCATTCAGGACCTGAAGGGTGGCAAGACTCTGGGAGGGCGGGAAGGAAGTGGTTAACCCTGACCTTGTCCTCTAACTCGGCTCCCCTTCCTTCAGCCTTTCAGATGTATTTGTCTCCCTTTTGGAGCTCGAGCACCACATTGCTCGTGAAAAGAGCTTTACTCATTACAGCCTGTCAGGTTGAACCGGCTGTGGCCGCGTTAATTCCGCTTGTCCAGTCGCTCCCTGAAAGGGTGTTTATTTTCCTGCATTTATCTGACGGTGGGGTGGAGAAGGCGTACACGGTCACCGTTAATGGGAAACGAGCTGACAGTTGTGCAGAGGCTTTGCCAAATGATGGCTTAATGAGAGGGGAAATGGGCAGGGGTGGCTGGGGAAGGTGGAATTGGCCAGGCCTGGGAGGAGGGTGGAGGTGTGGTGAGTAAGGCTGAGGCCAGTCCGAGCCGCTGCTCCCCCCGGCCGGCTCTAGGGAGAAACAGAATGGACCGTGGACAGCTATCTGGAGATGCTGACATTTTTGTGATCTTTGCAGTTTGCTTCTATATGAAGTTAAGATTGATGGTGACTGCGAAGATTGCACCTGCAGTGTAAAGCAGTGATTTTTCTGCTGGTGGGTGGAGGGGAGGGGAGGGGAGGAGAGGAGGGTGGCTGTGTATCTCCATGGCCTCGTGTCTCTTTTTTAGTCTTATTAATATTGCATTAATACAGCACACAAATCTCATTATAAAAATTAAACACATTTTTATGTGACAGTCCTTTCTTACTACAGACTGTGTCCTGCTAAAGTTCATGTGTTAAACTTAATTTCCAGCATGATGGTGTTAGGAAGTGGGGCCTTTTGAAGGTGACCAGGTCGTGAGGGTGGAGCCCGTGTGAATGGGGTTAGTGCCCTGAGAAAGGAGCCCCCAGAGAGCTCTCCTCTCCGCCTGCAGCACGTCAGGACGTGTGCATACTGTCTACGAGCCAGGAAGTGGGCTCTCTCCAGGCACTGAATCTGCTAGCACTTTGACCTTGGGCTTCTCGGCCTCTAGAATTGCCAGAGAGAAATTCCTGTTGTTTATAAGCCACCTAGTTGATGGTTATTTGTTACAGTAGCCTGAAAAAAAAAAAAAAAGATATCTGGTTTTGGAGAATTCCCTGGTAGTCCAGTGGTTAGGACTGTGCTTCTGCTGCAGGGGGGACTGGGGTGATCCCTGGTTGGGGAACTAAAGAAAAAAAAATGTCAGCCGGAATGGAGTAGGATGCTCCTTTTTCCTGAACTCTTCCCAGATCAAAGTCAACCATCATCATCAGTTTAGTGGGTACCCTTCTAGATTTTTCTCTTTTCTCTTTTTTTTACCTTTACGAAAATGATTTAGGTTGTATCTTATAATTATTAAGACATAACCACTCTCTCCTATGCTTATGTTGTTTAAGTATGCTTCAAATCAACTCTAAAGCAACCTGAACCCTGACTCCTGTATTTAGACTTCCCTTCTCTTTACAAGTGTACGTGCCTGCATACATTTTTGCACAGTTGGAACTGTCTGTGCATTCTCTTCTTGTGTGTTATTTTTAAAATTCGAAATGATTTTCGTCTCGTCGGTTTAGCACCTGTACAGAGTCCTTCCGTCTTGGTGCAGCTTGCCGGACCACTTCCCTGCCACTGAGCAGTTAGATCGCTCTGTGCTTTTATGTATGTATGTGTGTGTGTCCTGGAGATGTGGTTTTGTTATGTGTTTCCTGAAAAACAAGTTAGTAACATACAAGCTGTGATGCCGCCACTTGATTTTGCAGCTTTGCTTTCCATCTTGGCAGCCTCCTCTCTGGGAGATGCCT